AGAGGCTTCCTAAGGCACCTGGTCCTGAGGCCAGCGCCAGCCCTGGCGTTTTAGGTGTGGCTTTCACCTTTGTTCAGAGTCACCTGTGGTGAAGCTTCGCTCAGTTCACCCAGAATTTCCTTTCTGCACGTGCTCCATGCAAGATAAGAGGGAGCTCTGGGAATGCGAAACTGTAGGTCACAGTCCCTGCCTGCAAGCACCACCCGACCTGTCCAAGCAGATGAGCCATCCCTATGGCCAAGGCAGTGCAGAGTGACCTGGGGAGGGTGACCTTGTTACAGTCAGGCAGATGGAGGCAGGGCAGGAGAGCCCCTACCCCAACCAGGAATGTCAGGCAACCATCAGATGATGGTCCCACAATTGTTAACTGTCTCTCTAAATTAATGATTGGTCGCAGCCAGCACCACAGAAAGGCAGTCGCCCAATAGACAAAACCTGAAGCTGGTAATCAGCGGCTTCCCTATAAGATCTCCGGAGTTGGGCGATGAAGCTCATGCATGCACATTAAGAGGTAAAAATGACGTTTAAATGGTGTTTAACTGCTGTGTGACCTCCTGGGAGCACTTGACTGGTATGGGAAGAACATGTCACGTGGGCACGCACACAACTCCAGGAAACCGCACACGCCCCCTCTCAGGCGCTGGCAGGCCACTGTGCATGTGGACGGCCCCCCAAGGGAAGAATCAGGAAAGGGACGCAGCCCCCCAGAAGCATGCCAATGTGTAAGACCCCAAGTCACTGGTCAGACCGCACTTGAATCTCTCGTCACCCACCCGGCCGTCTTACGAGTGTACTTTCCTGCTCTAAAACTTGCCTCAGTCTCACTCTGCCTCATGCCCCTTGGTCAGATTCTTTCTTCTGAGGCGGCAAGCATTGAGACCCATACTGATCCCAAAGGCCACTGCCACTCTGAGCAGAGGCCTGGAGGCCTGCGGGGCCCGGAGGAAGCTACACAGCGAGGGAAAGTCAGCAGCATTCCTCTCGCCCTGACCTGCCTTAGATGCCGAGCTTCAGCCTCATCAGCCCGGGGCACTCATCATTCATTTCTCTTGAGTTCTGCAGGGAACTTAGGCTTGCTAACCTAACAGTTAAGAGTCACTGCCTAAGGACAGATGGGATTTAGCCAGACAGTGACCAGACGGGGCAAATGTGAGGCTGGGGGTGGCTAAAAACTACCAAGAAGGAAACTAAGCCTCCCTCCCTCCCAGTGGCTTATGAGTGTCAAGGCCTCCCTGAAATCCACTGCCCCACCCCCCCCCCGCTCCAGGAGGCCCTGTTCACAGTACGGAAGCAGAACAGTGACTGCTGAGGGCAGAGAGAGGTCAGGAAAGACCCCGGGCCAGGGGGACCTCCCCACACCTGCCTGGGCTTCTGTCCTGATGGGCCCAGGCACCCCTGGGCCCTGCTTTCCTTGAAGCTGCCCTCGGTCTGGGCAGAGCAGCCCAGCCCAGGTGGACGCTGATGGACACAGAACTCAGAGGTAAACTCCACACCCATGATCCTTGGGACCCCCAGAAACAACCTGGGGCAGGGGGACCCGCCAGGCGCCGCAGGTAGCCTCAGGCTCCCAGCTGAAGGGACTGTGTGGCGGAGCATGCGGCCCTCTGGGGAGCGCAGTCCCTCTTTGGCTCTGTTCATCATAAACCAGGAGACCCTGAGGGAGCCTCCTGCTTGTCGGCCCAGGGTGTCAGGACGACTGTCGGAGCCCGAGAGAGACGGGCGCAACGGTGGCTATCAGAGGTGGCCAGGGCATGGTGGGCTATGCTGGCAGAGCCCTCGT